ATGAGGTGTTTGGTTATGTCTATGAAGTATGCGTAACTGTGCCCCCTGTGTGCTTTATTATATATATGAATATATGTGCATACATTCACACAGATGCATATACATATACATACACCTATACAGACACACCCATGTATACATACTTATACACATAGATGCCTACATACATTATCTACCCACACATATATTTTTGGTTGTTTTTACTATTGCTTCAAAATTATGTATGCCATAGCATTACCAGCAGGGGCTTTTTTGTTGTGTACTTTTTAGTGACATCATTTACCTTCATCAAGCTGTGTACACATCACCCTTGTTTGGTGTTACCTTTCCCATCACCAAAACTAACAAGGGTCTCCTATCTAGAGAGTAAATCTACCTCCCCCCGATCCCTGGTAATGACTAATGAACATTAGTTTCTGTATATTTACTTGTTCATGTCCATTTCATAAAAGTGAGAACATACAATATATATATGTATTTTTGTGATTGACTTATTTCATTCAACATAATGACCTCCAAGTTCATTTATGTTCCACGATGTTTTGGGAACTCATTTTTCTTTAACGCTAAGAAGCATTCCATTGTATCAATGTACCACATTTTACTTATCTATGCATCTGTTGATGGGTACTTAGGTTGTTTCCATCTTTTTGCTATTGGGAATAGTGCTGCAGTGAACACAGGTGTGCATATGTCTGTTCATGTCACTACTGAATCCCTAGGGTATATATCTAGGAGTGGAATTGCTGGGTCATACAGCAGCTCTACCTCTAGTTTTTTGAGAAACTGCTAGACTGTTTTCCACAATGGCTGTATCATTTTGCATTCCCACCAACAATAGATGAAGGTTCCAATTTCTCCACATCCCCTCCAACGTTTTTTTTTTTTTTAATCTTGGCCATCCCAGTGGGAATGAAATGGTATATCACTGTGGTTTCTGATTTGCATTTCTCTGATGGTTAATTATATTGAGAATCTTTTCATGTGTCTGTTGGCATTTGAATATCTTCTTTGGTGATGTGTTTGTTCACATCCTTGCCCAGTTTTTGACTGGGTTATTTGTCTTTTTGTTGTTAAGTTGTGGAAGTTTTCTGTATATTTTAGATATTACACTCTGATCAGTTATATCATTCCCAAAGATTTTTTCCTAGTCTATAGATTTGGCTGCTTTTTATAATTTTTTATATATAATTTTTAATAATTTGATCATGATATGCCTCCTTGAAGTTCACTGTTTTTTTTAATTTATCTTGCTTGATAGTCTCCTGAGTTGACTGAATCTGTGGGTTAGTGTCTTTTATCAGGTTTGGAAAGTTTTCAGCCATCATTTTTTCAAAGAATGCTATTGTTCCATTCTCTGTCTTGTTACCTTCTGGGACTCTTTAAATTACATATAAATAAGATCTTTTGACTAAGTATCCCATTTGCTTCATTCTGTTCTGTTTTTTCCATTCTTTTTTTCTCTGTGGATTACTTTGGATGTTTTCTGTTAATGGTCTTTGAATCCACTAATCCTGTCTTCTGATGTATACATCTAATGAGTTCTTAATTTCATATACTGTGTTTTGCAGTTCTAGAATTTCCATTTGATTCTTTTTTATAGATTCCAATTCTGCTGACAGTCTCCATTTTTCATCTGCTTTGCCAAACTTTTCTTCTATTTAAATATTGTTATTTTAAAGTCCTTGTCTGCTAACTGCAAGATCTTGATCATCTCTGTGTCTGCTACTACTAACTTTTAACTCTTGATTACCAGTTATCTCTTCCTCTTCTTCACATGTCTAGTAATTTTTAATTTTATGTTAGACGTTATAAATCACACACTGTAGATTAGGTGGATCATGTTATTTTTTCTCTAAAGAGTGCTAAGTTTTATCCCACTAGGTAATTAAATAACCAGCAGATCACCTAGATCTTGTCAAAGCTTGGTTTTAGGTTTTGTTATTGCAAGTCTATTTCAGTTTTTCCCTTTTTCCTAGAGCATGGCCTTTCTAAGGGTCTAAAAAAAGTCTATTCAGCAAGGTCTCAGCACCTTGGCTGGACAAGAACATCCCAGCACTCTGTGTAGCCTGTGAACTCTGCTCTGCTCCCAAACCTCCTTAGTGGCTATTCTCTGTCAGGCCTCCCAGAATGCATATGCACATTAGGAGTTAACCAAGGTCCTGAGGGGATTTTTTTTTTTTTTTTTGGAGGGGGTGGTTTATGTGATTATCTATTTTTTCCCCTAAACTTTATTTATTTTGTTGTTGATGAGAATATACACAGCAAAACATATACCAATTCAACAGTTTCTACATGTACAATTTAGTGATGTTGATTATTCTTCAAGTTGTGCAACCATTCACACCCTCCTTTTCTGAGTTGTTCCTCCCCCATTAACATAAACTCACTGCCCTCTAAGGTTCCTATGTAATCTTTTGAGTTGCTGTTGTCAATTTGATCCCATATAGATAGTTCTTAAAAGAGCATAATGCTTAAGGCAGGCCTTTTTTTTTTACTAGCTAAGCTATTGTTCGGTTTTAAGATGACTTCAGGAGATATTTCTGGTTTATGGTTTAAAGATTATCTCAGGGCAGTAGTTTCAGGGGTTCATCCAACCCCCATGGCTCTAGAAAGTCTACAGTCCATGAAAATTTGAAATGCTGTTCTGCATTTTTCCCCCTTTGATCAGGATCCTTCTATGGAATCTTTGATAAAAATGTTCAGTAATGGTAGCTGGGCACCATCCAGTTCTTCTGGTCTCAGGGCAAAGGAAGCAGTTGTTCACAGAGGCAATTAGGCACACACTCTATATCATCCTCCTATTCTTGACTCTCCTTCTCCCTCTGTTATTCCAGGTGAATAGAGACCAATTGTTGTGCCTTGGACGGCAGGTCATAAGCTTTTAAGACCCCAGGCAATACACAATGAACTAGGATGTAGAACAGAAGTACTAAACACGTTATTAGGCCAATTAACTAGGATGTCCCATGAAACCATAACCCTAAACATCCAAACCAAGGAACCAAATCCCATGAGGTGTTTGGCTGTACATAAGCAGCCTCAGCAGCTGCTACTTTTTTTTTCTTCTGGTCATTGTAAATATACTACACACACTTTGCCAACTCAACTTTTTACAGGTGTACAACTTTTGGACAGCAATTACAATAATCAGCTGCGCAACCCTACCCTTAATCAATGTGATTTTCCATCACTGTTAACCCTTCTTCCCCCTTCCTCCTGCTAAGGAGAATTTTAAGCTAAATTTTTGTACTCCTTCCCTGTGACTCCTTCCTTGCTGGGGCCCTGCTCTCCAGATTCCAGCACCTTGGCAGCTGAACGCAGATCTCTGACTCCTTTGCCCAGTGAGATTGCTGTTTTCCTCTTGGCTTTATTGCCCTCTACTGTTTAGAAAATGCCTTCAGGGAAAAAGCTGAGGTAAAGGTTGGGTCCATCTCTTGTGCTTGCCCCATCTCAAGGACTGTGACCCTTTTTGGTTGCCGTATAATGAATGCCAAAGCAGTTGTTTTACAGATTTTAATTTTTGTAGTTATTTGTAGTGGGATAGTAAGTTGGATACTAGCCATTCCATTGTGGCGAAAACTGGAAGTTCCTCATGGTTATAAATTTAAAGTGAAACTACTTAACATGGCTATATTTTTTTCTTCAGCCATGTTTAGCCACATGAGTATAGAGTTGGATTTAATTAGTTATGCGATTCTGCTAAGCAAGAGTGATGAAATAAGATAAGGGTAAAGGGCAGTTCTACTCTGTCACATGGGGCCGCTATGAGTCGAAATCGACTCCGTGATACCTAACAACAACAACAAAGGGCAAACATAAATGCAAAGAGTGATTGTACTGCTTGACCATAGAATTCAAAGTTGTTAAGGAATGGAGGGTTTCATGAAGGGAGTGAGGGACATAAAACCATTGCAGAATCAATAAACTGATGATCCTGGTAGTGTCAAAATTGCTGCGGTTGGGTTAGCTGGAAAGATGGGAAGTAGTGGTCAGAGAGTAGATGCATAAACGTCAGATTATGGACGGGTTGCAGCTACTGGTAACGTTAAGGTTTAGGGTATGAAAAGAGGAAGAATGGCCAAGGTAGGGTGGGAGACAAGATCACTAGAGGACAAGAATCAAGCTTTAAGGAGGACAGTAATTGAAAAATCAAAACGTATATTAAAATGACCATGAATTAAGATAGGATTGTATCAGAGAGCCGGATGGTAAGCCATTATTGAGAGGAACTTGAATGTTGAGGATCAGCAAGTGATAAAACTTGATGACATTAGATTTAAAGCTGGTGGTATTTAAGGAGGAAGGATATGCTAAGTAATATGCAAAACTACAGATTTAGCATAACAGTTTTCTGGAAGATTGGGTTTTACATGCTTTTGCTCTCCTCAACTACTAGGGATAACTATTAGGGAAAAGTTTGAGAAGTATAAAAGAATATTCAGTTGTAGCTGTATTTCAAGTGAGCTAAAATTTCCTCACCCCTAGAAGCTAAATAAGTCTCTTATTTTTGAGAGGAAAACATGTTTATTGTTTTTCTCTATTAATGACAGATAAATTTCTTAAAGTAATGGTTTGTAAATATGCTGTGCTAGAAGAAATAAAACGTGAAAAAGGTCTTCTCAAAGGAAAATATTCTATTAGGGAAAACATACATTTACAAAATATACCAGTCACACTAACAAAAACAATTACTTGGTGGGAGGTGGGAGGGAGCCGGGAGGCAGTGGCCCAGGATATTTAAGATGTGTTGTTGATCAGCAGAGATAAACGGCCCTTTTGGAAAATGTCCTAGGGGAAAAAGCTGAGGTGAGCTTGAGACACACTTCCTGTGCGCGCCCTAGCTCAAGGACCGTGGCTGTCACTGGCTGTGTCCACCTAAAGCCAAATAATTAAAGAAGAGAGAAAGGAAAGTCCCACCCCCCCCCATTCTTGTCCCTAACCAGCCCCAGTTAAAGTCACTGATAGGATAACCAAGAACTAATAGAATGCAAGCTTACCTGGATATGGCACTCTGCCCTTTGTTACCAGTTCTGTCTGCAGAATTCCAAACGACCATACATCAGACTTTATTGTAAATCGCCCATACAGTGCAGCCTCAGGAGCTGTCCATTTGATTGGAAATTTTGCACCTAAAACAATATTGAAAATTGTGCTTAAATTATTAAAACAAAAATCCTAAAAATCTATTTATGTAAATATGGTATAAGCAGAGCTGATCTTCTGTCAAGATCTCTATCGTGTGTATCAGTGTCAAATTCTTCTAAAGTACAAGATATATGGGGAAAAAGTCTTTAATTTTTAATATTTATATTAAAATAAACCATATTTCCTCCTGACGAGATACTCAATGTTATAAAAAAAGAGAGTTGTTGGTGGGGACAGAAAATTGTTCAAGAAAATGGAGGTAGAGGCTATCGTAAGCAGCAGCCAAAAATGTGGATTGTAAAATCTGTAACTTTTTATGTTCAGTCTGGCACGTAGCTGCTAGTTATCTATGTGTTGATGAGGGCATATTCTATTAGGCTGTAATGTCTACTGATTTTTAATCATAATCTCTTTTCTATTTTATGATATCTTTCTGGAAAATTTTATTGTACTATCATTTTTAAAAGTCCATATTAGTTTACTCAGTTATTTAGTGTATGCCTTCTATGTGCAAGGCATTATGCTAATCGTTATTTTAAAAAAAACAAACACCCAAACCTGCTGCTGTTGAGTCGGATTCTGACTCATAATGACCCTACAGGACAGAGCAGAACTGTCCCCTGGGGTTTTCAAGGAGTAGCTGGTAGGTTCGAACTGCTGACCCTTTGGTTAGCAGCCGAGCTCTTAACCACTGCACCACCAGGGCTCCTTAATAGTTAGAGGTGATATAAAAACAATGCCTTCATGAAGTCTATACACTTACAGTGGAAATAACATTATAGGTATTTTATAGACACACATATATAAAGACCTTCAAGTATGCAAGTGTTTTAAAATAGAGTTCATTAGATGTTTACACAAACAGAAGATCAATTTTCACTGGCACAATCACAAAAGGTTTCATTAAAAAAAAGTGGCAGCTAACTTAAGCTTTAAAGAATGGTTAGAATTTTTACAGGTGAAGATTATAGGAGAATAGGAAGATATTCCAGCTGGATGGAACTGCACAAAGGTATAGAGGTTGAAAAGAAAGCAATGTGTCTAAGGTAGGGCTTTCTCAACCTTGGGACTACCCGACATTCTGGGCCAGGTAATTCTTTGTTGTCGGGGGCCATCCTGAACATTTTGCAGTATACCTGGCCTCTACCCACTAGAAGCTAGTAGTAGCCTGTAAGCTGTGACAACCAAAAATGTCTCTAGACTTTGCTAAATGTCTCCTGGGGGGCAATACTGCTCCTGGTTGAGAAACAGGCTTGTGTACCAATGTGGTCAGTGACAAAAAGTCACCAGTCTACTGCAAAAAAAGAAAAAGGACCATGTATCAATTCATAAAATAAAAATTATTAGCATATAGGTATGTCCGTTTTCTTGAGATAATGTCCATCCTACTTGGTTGGTGTTAAAATACTATTCTTCTTTTATGAAATGATGGTAATAGAAAACAGCAGATATTTTTTGAACCTTCACTAACCTCTACATTGGGCTTACTGTAAGGTACTGAAATAATTTGTTTACAATTCTGCCTCGGACATTGGTCAGTAAGCTCCTTGAGACCAGAAACCAGGCCGTCTTACAGCCCTGCCCTAACACCTAGCATATGCAGGGACACAAATGTTTGTGAAGGCTAAGCTGCGACCAGAGTAGGACACTCTGAAAGCCAAGGCATCTTTTTTGTAGGCGTGGAGGGTCACTGAGGTTCCCTGCAGGATGGACAACTCACGTGGTGATTTATATCGGACGTTACTGAATCTCTGCCTGTCAGAGTGACACTCTTTCTTCAAAGCCCTGCTCTAGAGCCACCGCCTCTGTGAAGTATTTCTGGTTCTCTCTGCCTTCCCAAAGTACTTTTCATATACTCCTCTTGTGACTAACCACATAATGCTTTGTAACTATCTTGATTGTTATTTATATATAGATCTACCTTGTCCATTAAAGTGTAAGCTCCTTTGGGGGCAAGTACTCTGTATTATTTATTTCTGTGTTCTGGTTCTAGCAACTTAGTCTCTAGTGACTTTAAATAGTAATTGTAGCTAATATTTACTGAGCATCTACTATGTGCCAGGCAGGCACTGTTAGGCTCAAAACATCCATGATCAAAGTTTTACAACAATCTTGAAAACTAGGTATTACCATCTACTCTATAGGTGAGGAGACTGAGGCTCAGTCAGAAAGGTTAGTTAACTTGGCTGAGATCTCTTGGCTAATAACAGATAGACTGAGATTCAAAAGTCCATATTCTTTCCATGTGCAATGCCACCCCTCATATATTATGTCTGTTCATTAAGTGTGTAGTGAACGAGTCTTACACACAGACCAAATGGAAGAATCAACTGATGTTAATTTCCCTTCACTCATTCTTTATAGTGTTCATCTTCCAAATGTTTTTATTTACCACAGTTTTATATATAATAAAGATTATAAATCTGGAATAGACATGGTTTCCAAAGGCTTTGTAAAACTGGAAACCATTTCTTTCATTTCCTTCCTCTTTCTTTTTAAAAACCTTTTTATTGTGGTACAATATATATAACAAACCATTTTCCATTTCAACCACTTTTCTGTGTACAATTCAGTAACCTTAATTATATTCACCATGTTGTGCAGCCATCACCACTATTCCTTTCCCATTTCTTTCATCACCCTTAACGGAAACCCAGTACCCCTTAAATAATAACTACCCATACTCTTTATTTCTTAGCATAAAAATTATTCCAAGTCCTTTGTTCATGGTAGAAGGAACAATTCAGAAGACTCTTAACCATTGATATAAGGACTCAGGATCAGCTTTTTCTCTTACCTCACTCACTGTAGTTAATAAGTTGCCCTGATCAGACCTCTACTGGCACAAAAAGAACAAGTGAAGTAGCCCTACATTTTGTTCATCGAGCACAGCTGAGCCTAGCCAACAGTGTCAATTCAAAAGAGGGAGATAAAATATGCAGCAAAGTTGGGAGGCAGGAAACAAAGAACCCAGTATGACAATTTACAGACGAGCTAAATAAGCATTGGAAATACCATCAGGAAGGTAAAAAGCCTCAAGTGTCTACAAAAGAGATGAGCCGTAGGGGTTAGGCTGAGAGGAACTGGAAGGGCCAATTCAAAACCAATGAAGAAATTTAAAACTTTGCATTAAATTGTTTAAAAAGCCATTTAAGTATAACTTATATACAATAAAATTACCCTTTTAGTATATAGTTTTATGAGTTTGGACAATACAGTTGTATAGTAACTATCAAAATCAAGATACAGAACAGTTTCAACATCCCCAAAATTTCCTCTTGCCCCTCTGTAACCAACCCATCCTTCACTGCCTGTCCCTGGCAGCCACTGCTCTGTTTTCTGTCTCTATAGTTTTTTTTTTATTTTTTTTTTATTTTATTGTACTTCAGGTGAAGGCTTACAGAACAAATAGTTTCTCATGAAACAGCAGTACACATGTTGTTTTATGACATTGGTTAACAACCCCACAACATATTAACCCTCTAAATTCTCAACCTTTTTTTTT